AATTCATGTGTGCCACAGTGACTCAAGGCAGCTTTGCAGATAAAATAGAAATGGCTAAAAACTGGGTTAAGCTACAGTTTGTGTTACTGCAAGCCTAAGAACCTGTAGCCCTCCAGTTGTTGTTGAACTACATTTTCTATCATTCCTGACTATTGGTGGTGCTGGCTAGGGCTGATGGGACATGTAGTTCAAAAGAATTTAGACTGCAGCCACTCAACACACATTTTAAACACCCCACTATAACAGTACAGTAATGGAGATTCCTGGGAACTGTAGCTTGCTAAGGTTGCTAGAAATGATATAATATAGGAATTATAGCTCTGTGAGGTCAACACCTTTAACAAACTATGGTTCCTAGGATTCTCTGTAACTTAAAGTGGTATAAGAGTGCTTTAAAATCAGAGAATCTTAAGATTGGAAGGTACCCTAAGGGTAATCTAGTCCAATTCTCTGCAGTGTAGGAATCACAGCTAATGCATGCTGATGCCTGTGACTCAACAATGTCTGCAGAGCCGCAGGTTTTCCATTCCCTGGGAATGGGTCAGCAAAAACAAACAAATATGCGGGAGTCAATGGTGGTACCCGCAGCTCCCTTTTTCCTACAGCATGTGGTCAGGAATGAGGCACTTTTAGATGCTTTTCGGAGTCTTGGATGTTTTCTTCCTGGTCTGATCAGAAATGGTGGCTTAGGGCATGCTTTCCTTTCCAAAATGTAAGGGAGTTAAAGGGTGAGAAGGAATTAGTATAAATTAAATTAATGACTGAATAAATTAAGATGCTGTTTATTCACTATTAGTTTTTATATTATTGTACCTCTGTTGGTTATATTTTGGAGGGGTTGTGTTGTAAAAACATCCTTGAATGATCCTTTTTGTAGCATGGGATATAATTTTTAAAAATAGTGTTCTTATTTTCAATAGATGAATAAAGGGAGGCCGGTCTAGAGAAATCTAGTGGAGAGTAGCACAGAGGATTAAAAACAACCAATATATTTAGGAAATAAATATAGATAATGTAGATGTGTTATTCAACTCTTTTCTAAGTGAGAAGCTGTTTTGATTTACACAGCTGGAGGATATATGAACTGGGATTGAGAATCCGCTAAACCTGGTAGGACTGTGTGTTGTTGTTGTTTAGTCATTTAGTCGTGTCTGACTCTTCGTGACCCCATGGACCAGAGCACACCAGGCACTCCTGTCTTCCACTGCCTCCCACAGTTTGGTCAAACTCATGTTCGTAGCTTCGAGAACACTGTCCAACCATCTCGTCCTCTGTCGTCCCCTTCTCCTTGTGCCTTCCATCTTTCCCAACATCAGAGTCTTTTCCAGGGAGTCTTCTCTTCTCATGAGGTGGTCAAAGTATTGGAGCCTCCTTCCAGTGAGCACTCAGGGCTGATTTCCTTCAGAATGGATAGGTTTGATCTTCTTGCAGGTGGGATTGTGTAGTTGTTGCCTAATACATGCTTCAGAAACATGAAGTTCATCCTTTAGGAATTCTAGAGGGATCCGTTGTCTTGCTTACACATTGTTTAAAATGTATATGCTGCCTTTTAACCCAACAGGGCCCTACAGACAGTTCACTATAAATAGGCTATGACATAGGAAGAAGAAACTTATCATAGCATTGCTGGGTTACCTCATTTGCCCCAGGCTGACGTGTCCCTTATCCCAAGATGTCCTTCTGTGTTGCCAGTCCATCCACACTGACTTCTTCAAGCCTTGCTAAGTCTGAGGAAAGTTCCAGCCCAGTTGTCCCAATACTTTACCTGGCTCAGAGAGGCCTGCATATAAATGCCTCCAGCTGCCATCACTTCAGAGGCCCTGTTTATTTATATCTCTCTTTATATCATACCATAAATAGCGCGGAGCATTGATACCTTCAGAGAGGCAGGCACACTGTGCCCGCATTTGTACAGGCTGTAATTGTTGTTATCTCCCCTGCTGGTATGTGGCAGGAAGATAAACAGCCCACTGGTACTCAGTTGTCTTCAGTTCCAACCACCTCCTCTCATTCCTTGGAGAGGACGCAGACCTGGACCAGAATAACATTTGAGGGCTTCAGAAAGCCCAAGGGGGAGGGAAGAGATTACGTGTGAGGAGAGGAAGCAGGAATTACTAGTACATTCCCTAGGGGAGGCTACTCAATGGATTAAAGCAGATGTAAATTCCTCTTGTATGGAGGTAGGCAAGCAAGCCAATGAAAAATGTGTGCAGGTGTAGGCTGATGGAGAGAGCCCAACCACCTGCAATGCAGGAATCTTTTGCCCAACATGGGGCTTGAACCCACAACCTTGAGATTAAGAGTCTCATGTTCTACCCAATGAGCTATTTCTTATGGAAATGCAGTTCTTCAGCATTTGTTCTTTCCTTCTACAATGCTTCCCTTTTTCTAGTCCAGTTGTCAGTGTGCATGTACCATACATACCTTGGCCATCATCTTTGTTGCTTTCGTCATGCTATGTGTGGTTATTTAGCTTTATGGTATCGGCAGTGCAGGGGTCTCTTCATCTACTCTCCGTGCTTTCCACCCATCTCTGTGACACTCTGCTTTGGATTGTTACTAATGGCGGGTTGTTTTAACTTGAAACAAACGCCATCACTCTTGCCCCAGCCTTTTCTCAATGTTCATTCCTATTCAAATTAAATAGGAGTCTAGCACCAATCTGCCTGAGGGAGTTGTCGCAAGATGGGGTCACCAACTTGGTGGTGCCTTTCCAGATGTTGTTGGGCTACAACTCCAATCTGCCCCAACCAGCATCTCCAATGGTTAATAATGATGGGAGATGAAGCCCAGCATCTAGAGGGCACCATGTTGGCTACCCCTAAGGGTTTCTGAGATACATGTGAAATGTTTTCAAGCTCAAAATGTACTACAGAAATCTGACATATTACATATCAAGCACCGAGAAGAAACATCCACTATTGTTATAATGCCCTCTGGCGGCCAACTACAAAAATCTCATTCTACTGATCTTGTGGAATGGAGAACAACAACTGTCTTACTTTATTCAAAAGAGGGGAAATTTCTTGCTGGCCACAGATTCAGTTTGTTGCTAGAGGCTCAATGAGAGAGAGAAACTTTTGGCAGATGATCAGAGAATTCCTACACCTTCTTCACAACTTTTATTCAGATAACATGAGAGATGTATTTCAGAAAGTAAATCACTTTAAAAAAATAGTGCTGCCTCGTAAGTATAATTTTTATTGTATACATTGCATTTACAGTAAGTACACAGGGATGTTGTTGTATTCCTAATGTAGCTAGAAGCATTTCCTGTATATATGCAGTATATTTGTTTCCCTTTCACCAAATACACAGACATACAGCCACACACACGTCCCATGATGAGAATTAATCTGCTAGAATTACATTCAAAGAGATTTCAGGTGGAATTCTTTCCTGTTGGCCCTGATCATCCATGCAAAACTGTATAAAAATTTAATGAAGAAAATCAGAACCATTATAAAAGGGAAAGAGATCTGCCATGCAATCGCTATTCATTTCAATTCCAGTTCTAAGAATAATCAGAGAAATCCGATTGAAGTCAATAAATCATTGCGGGATAAATCAATCCACATTTTGAAAGTTAATAGTTCTGGCTTGTGCCTACCCTATATGTGATTAAGATTTCTCTAGTCCACAAAATATTTGCTACCTTGCTACAGTTGACAGGTGCATTAATGAGTATTTCAAAAAGCACCTAAAAGTGCAGTACATGCTAGACAGCTTAAAGTCTAGAAAAGGGGGGAGGGGGGAGAGAGATCTAGACCAATTAAGCAAACATCAGCTCAATACCTTTGCACATGGCAAAGCTCAAAAGTAGCCCCATGAATATACTTCATAATCTTGAAATCAATACATAAAATAACAGTGGAAATATTTTCATGACCAACTTACTGTTCTTCCTTCATGTTTGCAGCACCAGAGTATTGAGAAGCAGCTCATTTAATCAACAGAAAAAGTAGATCAATTTTTTAAAACATAAACCCCAACAAAGTTCCTTGAAACAGCTTATATACGAATGGAATAGCAAATACTGTATGGATTTGCAAGCGGTCTTAAAAATGTAACATTCATCAATATATTACTATGTAATTAATAGCCTCTTCAAAAGTAAGCAATTTAAAATATGTTTTGGAGATAAAAATGTTTGAAACTTAATCTTGATATAGTTTTTAGAGTGTTCACAGAAGGAAACTTCAGGCACAACCTATAAAGCAACCCTGTTGCTCAAGCCCACTGAAGCTAGGGATGAACAGTCCATGTCACTTTTACACATATTCATTCAGAAGTCTGTTCAGTCCCATTTCTGCATTAATGTACACCTTTACAAATTATCATTTAGATTTCTAAAGAAAAATCAACACTGAATTGAACACAAAAGAGCAAGCGTACACATATTCTGCCCAAATGTATGCATTTCATCCTAAAATACAATTTTTTAAAAACACATTTTGGTCAGTTTTTTGAGCTATGAACTGCATTGCAAAAATTTGAGAAGAACAAATCACATTATAAATTCCAAAGGAAGGTTTAGATCAGCTCAAGTTGAATTGAATCCACACAAATCCAATTCATCAAGCATCCAAAATCGAAATCAATGGGAGCTGCTGCACTTCAATGTCTCTTACATTGGATCCCCCCCCCCGACCCTTCTCAGTCCCCTTTGCTTCATTAGGCTATTTCTTTTGCTTAGGCCAGGGGTCTGCAACCTTTAAGACAAAAAGAGCCACTTGGACCCGTTTCCGAAGAAAAAAAACCTGGGAGCCGCAAAACCATTGTGACATTTAAAACAAATTTATCTCCGGAGCCGCGATCTGACAGCGGGCGGGAAGGTGACGTCGGGACGGTGCGTGACTAACATGCGACATCACAGCCAGTACAGCGCCCGCCACAGTGGGGAGCGTTGGGGTGCACAACGCGCCTCCTCCCCTCGCTAGTATCCGCCCCGGAGCCACGGCAAAGGTGTAAAAGAGCCACATGCGGGTTGCTGACCCCTGGCTTAGGCAGATAAATCACGTAAGTAGCGTTGTTCTTAGAAGGGGATATTTGGAAGCAAAGCAGATCAGATTTAAAATAAAAACCAAAACCTTAAAACAACCAATGTCCCTGGGAGGAAGTCCAAGTTAGAAGTAAACTATTTGCGGGGCAAAAGTCTTGAATATTTTGAGCACCAACTGTTTCTCATTTAGATTAATGTGCACACCAGATTCAAATCTCATCCCTGTATTTTGATACAAACATTATCCCCCAAACAGTTCACTCTTACATTAAATATTTTCATAGCATTTCCAAGTTAGTCATTTAACACACACCCCACACAGCCGAAAGAAGTTGGCTCAATCAATGGCTTCTCCCCAAATCATTCCTGAACAGTGCAAAGCAAGAGGCTGTATGTGGGCTGCTTTTTGGCCTGATTGCCAATTCAAGTACGAGGGAAACAACAGGGCAACTAACCCCCCTGTTATTTACAACTTGCCTCCACTTAAAGTTGGGCCCTCTGCTAGAGGCTCTAAAAGTATGCTGTATGGGGAACTGGTGGTCCCCTCCAGATATTGAATGGACTCCTAGTTCCTATCAGCCCCAACCAGCTTGGCCAATGGTTAGGAATGATGGGAGCTGGCACCCCAACAATATTTGGAGGGCCACGGGCTCCCCATTGCCACTGAAGGCCCTACAGCTCAATTTTTATTTTTGATTCGCTTGCTCACATTGACCAGTGCTACAAAAACCATTGGGTCTTACAAAGATGTTGATTTTGTGTGTGTGTGTGTGTGTGTGTCTGTGTGACCACACTTATGTGCTCTGCACATCTGGGTGGCAGCCCCATCCCGGCCAGCACCAATTCCCCGGGCAGCTCAGTTGAGAAGAGGGCAAGACAGGCCAAACATCTATTGTGCTTCTTGCTTCCTGCACTTCCTGCAGTGTACAATCCAGAGTGTGGGGAAACTCCCATGCAAGCAGGTCGTTATATTTGAAGGTCTACTTCCTTCCTTCCCTTGGAAGGGCTTTGGTGGCAAAGCTGAAGAAGCCCTGTGCCCTTGCTTCATTCCTGGGGCTAAACTACACATTACACTGAATGGAGTCTCTGGCTTTTCTTTAGTGACAGGTGTGTGGGAGTCCCAACAATTATTGGGGTGGTAGCATGAGAAGTGGGGCTATTAGATTTCTCCTTTCCCTCCCCAGCAATGACTTTCCTGAAAAAGTCACTGCTGGGGAGGGCCTTTTCACCAGGCCAAGTTCAAGGTCTAACTACTGGTATATGAAGCCCTTAATGGCTTGGGGCCAGTTTACTAATACAATCACTTCACCCTGTATGTGCCCATTCGACCACTTCACTCTATGGACTCTGCACTGCTACAGTCATCACAGCTGTAAAAAAACTGCTATTTGAGTATCACACAACAACTTTGGAACTCCCTGCCTGTTGACATCAGGCAGGTGCATTTGCTGCACTCTTTTTCATGCTTAAAACTTCTTTTGTTTAGGCAAGTCTATCTCAACATGTAGATGTTGATTTGTTTTAATCTCTTTTTACAGTTCGTCTTAATTATTTCTAAATGCTTTCCACTGGTCATCTTAATATTTCCTGTAAACCACTCAGAGCTTTTATTACAATAAAGCGGCACATATGTTTTTGCTAACAAATCCATGAAACAACCCTGGCACAGCTGGGAGGGTTAGCATAAAACAGGAGGAGGAAGAGGAGGTCCCATTGGTGCCAATGGGATTATTTTCTTAAGCCTTATGGAGCCCTTGAATTTTGTCATGATAATGGCTTGGGAGGGAAAGGATAAACCTTCCCTCTCTCACAATTCTAGTTGGGCCTCCAACCCCCACGGCTGCACTTGAAGAAAAAACAGAGATTTGAAAACCTGCTACATATTAATCATGTGCAGTTTTGCCTCCACACAACCCCTGCACTTTAGCTGTATGCCTATTTTAAAGGATCATTTTCACAGACTTATAAAAAAAAAGTGTGCTGCACAACTACCACCATTATAATTATTCTTTTTCTTTTTTTTTTGCAAATTAGTAGTGTAAACAGGAATCTTAAATTCACCAACTACTCACTTCCTAGCCGATGAATTATTTTTCTCACCGTGGGCTAATATAACCAATACCCTTTTAGAAAAAAATACCCTCTCATTTATTCCATTTAGATGCTTTGTAGTATTTTTTTAAAGCATACTGTACTATTATTATGGGGCTGCAGCTCTGTAGGGGCATGGGGCTTATGAAACTGAACTTCCTGTTCCATCCAGACCACCCCAGCTCACCCTCAAAATCAGCTGTGGAGGGCTGGCGCAGATTTTGGAGATACCTGGTGGGGGTAGAGGAAACAAGAGGCCCTGTTACACCAGTGAAAGCATGCTGGTGCAGCAGTACATCGAAACCATGATTATTCTTCGCTACGATTGCAACATCTCTGGCGCACTGGAATCTCACATTCATCATCTGCTCACCTCCTGGGAGAGGAATTTTGTTTCACCTTGGGCTAATATAACCAATGCATTTTCACATTCATTTACACGCTAAACTAAAGCAGGAGGCCAGGCGTCTCAGGGTTATCGGGACTGTGATGCTATGCAAGCTGACTTGGGAGCAAGTCCAACTGAGATCAGTAGTAAACACAGGTAGGATCAGGCTGCATGCGTCCTGCTCCCAGTCAAATTGTTCACATCAGAAACCGAAGGACCTGGCTACTGAGTCTCAGGAGAGACTCGCACACGTGTTGTTACTGGGATTCCTGAAAAATATATGGCACTAAGTGTAAAAACCATATCTATTGGAAAATGTCCTGTTGCACAGCAAAGACTCCAGAGAAGATCACCACTGCTTTGTTTGCTTTTTTCAAATATATAGCTGGTGGGCTGCAAGGGTGTCCATGAAAGGCTGCACAAGGTAATCTGTTGAGAAGTAGAAGATCAAGCCAAAGGTGATGGAGATGGGAAGGGCAGGTAACGCTTTCTTGAATACTGCCAGCAGCAAAAGAGTTAAACACAGGCCCTAAGGAGGAGGAGAAAAACGTTACTCGGAAGAAGGTCGGGTTACTTCCCCCCTTAAGAGATAAAAACCAATAGATAAAATATTGGAAGTATCTTGCAGTATTTCAAAAGACTAAGGTCAAAATCCCAACACACATATTTTATTTTAATTTTATTATTTATTCAATTCATACACCGCCCTATATACCGCCATATACCTGAGGTCTATGCTATGCTTAAGTCTGCTAGGCCTAACAGTACCTCGGGTTACAGACGCTTCAGGTTACATACGCTTCAGGTTACAGACTCTGCTAACCCAGAAATAGTACCTCAGGTTTAGAACTTTGCTTCAGGATGAGAACAGAAATCGCACAGCAGTGGCGCAGCAGCAGTGGGAGGCCCCATTAGCTAAAGTGGTGCTTCAGGTTAAGAACAGTTTCAGGTTAAGAACGGACCTCCAGAACGAATTCAGTTCTTAACCCGAGGTACCATTGTATAAACTTTTGTGGACTGCAGAGTACATCCTCAAGAGATCAACAGCTCCCCCTCTTACCTTGCTTAATGTGCAAATTTCTAGGTAGAAAGTATTTTAATGCATTGAATAGAATGAAAGTTTATGAGTCATGGTGGAGGGGGGAGCAAGTGTACAAATTCAACAGGTCTTTGTTGTTTTTGTTGCTATTTTGTTAATGTTAATATTGTTTTATAGGTATGAATGCTGTCATATTTTGTGAATCCTATGATATGATTTTTGGTGTAACTGTGATGTTTAGCTTATTTTCTTAGTTGTTTTTTTAATAGTGTTACATAGACGGGAATTGTTTTAATTGGGATTTGTGATTGTTTCACTGATGATTTGTTAAGTATTTTATACGATTTATGCTGTATTCGTGATTGTCCATAATGCTATTTTTATCTTTTGTTTGTAAGCCGCTATGGGATTCATTTGAATAAAAAGTGGCATAGAAATAGAACCAATCAACCAATCATCGCCAACTCAGCACCCTCCAGGTATTGTTGGACTCCAAACTCCCATCAACCCCAGCCAACATGGCCGAGTTCTTGTGGGGTGAGTTTTCACCTTTTAGGGGGTGGGCCCCGTGTGGGCAGGCATCTTCCCCAGCTGAAATTGATTCAGCTAGCCTGGCTTTATGGCATAACACCAAGACATAACCTATCGATTTCACTTACTATGAGGATGGCTACGAAACAAGCCAGAGTTGTATTCCAGTCACCGCTAGCAGTGGCGGCTGCTTTGCCCACAAGTACACTGTAGAATATGAAGTCCCCAAGGCCCAGTTTGACGCCTCCTGTTTAGAAGGGAGGGAAAGAAAAGATTGCGTCAGCTCTACGGAATTGCTATTCTGACAAGAAACGCAGTGCCGTTATCACCAACCGTTCTCCGCTTATTATCGGGGCCAAAATCATCATGGCATTTGCAGCTCTCTAGTGGGTGGGGAAAGAGAACACTGATACAGAGAAACTGGATCACGTCGCTTATACTTTACATCCATTTCAGATCTGTGCCAGCATTATCAAGGGTAATTTTTTAAAAAAAGAAGGGTGTATTTTTCTGCTTGTCGGTAGGACATCGCTCTTTAGCTTTTGCCAGAAACTGGATGCCACGAGGGAGAGTTCATAGCAAGCAGTGCAAGATTGTTTAACAGAACTTCAATCCTACACACATTTACACTGGAGTAAGTCTTGCTAAACTCGGTAGGGCTTCCTTCTGAGAAGACATACAAAGAAATGCAGTTAGTGGACATGCAAGAGAGGTACTTCTCAAGAGGAAAGGTATTTTCCTACAAGATAATCTGGCTAAAACATCCGAGATGAGGAGAACTCCTTCTGCTTTAAAGGTGGGTTCTGGAGACAGAAAGCCCTTACTCTGAGATGCACTCAACTTTTATTTTGGGGGGGAGTGAAGTGTGGATTTTAAATCTCCAAAGTTTTGAATCTGTCTCTGATCCAGTTCATGGTCAGGCATACATAATGTCCACACAAATCATTAGGGGAAGCCTTGGGGTCATAGCCTCATGTGCATCCTAACTGAACATCACCATCTGTACTGACAAAGCAAATGATTTGTAATCGTAGCATTTCCAGGACACAGAACTATTGTGGAAAAAGCACTGGAATGCATCGGAATGCAGATGCATTCCAAGACTCTTCCCAGGAATAATTTTTACTTTAGTTTCCTAGACACTTTTCACAAACTCTCAAAATCACTTCTAAAAGTGCACAATACAAAAATCCTTTAAAGCATGTGCGCGCACACACACGTTATCATAAAAGCAACCCCCTCCATCCCCCAGATATCAGCTTCATCACCGAAATGATCCCCTCCCCAAAATACTATCAGCTGCTGCAGAAATTGACACTCAAAATGCCAGGGAGATGTTAAGAACTCTGCCATAGCCCCAAACCTTTCCATTCCAATTCATGGCATGTAAAGGTAAAGGTAAAGGTAAAGGGACCCCTGACCGTTAGGTCCAGTCGCGGATGGCTCTGCGGTTGCGGCGCTCATCTCGCTTTATTGGCCGAGGGAGCCGGCGTACAGCTTCCGGGTCATGTGGCCAGCATGACTAAGCCGCTTCTGGCGAACCAGAGCAGCGCACGGAAACGCCGTTTACCTTCCCACCGGAGCGGTACCTATTTATCTACTTTGACGTGCTTCTGAACTGCTAGGTTGGCAGGAGCAGGGACCGAGCAACAGGAGCTCACCCTGTCGCGGGGATTCAAACCACCAACCTTCTGATCGGCAAGTCCTAGGCTCTGAGGTTTAACCCACAGCGCCACCCACGTCATGGCATGTAGTTTGGCATAAATTAGTACAAAAGGACCAAAGAGAGCAGAGCTGCTTTGGGTACAAAATATAATAAAATAATAATAATAATAATAATAATAATAATAATAATAATAATAATAATATCTTTATTGTCATTGCCCCCTCTCGGGGACAACGAAATTACTTGGCTGCTCCATCCACCCAGGTAGGGCACTCCACACAAAATCAAAACACCTATAAAAACACTAATTAAAACAATACAGTATAATACAGCAAGGAAGATTAGATGACTTTCAAAGTCCAGGCTTCCCATTCAGGGCCGAGATCGCTCTGGAGAAGAAGCTGTTCTTAAGATGTCATGTTCAGTAGCTGGCATCTCCATTTGAAAGCTTTCAGATAATATAGGCTAGTAAAGACCTCTAACCTGAAGCCTTTGGAAGCTGCTTCTAGCCAAAGGGTGGCATTTGGCTATAGGCACCAACGGACTCAATCTGAAAGGAGCTTCCTACATTTTAAAGATACTAGAGCAGGCTTCACCAACCTTGTGCCCTCCAGAAGTTTCTAACTTCAACTCCCATCAGCACCAGCCAGACACATGTAGAAGACACCAAGCTGGTGAGCAGAATGTCCAAATTCATATTTTGTGTAAATACCAGCAAAGTGGCCATAAAAGGGTCTCAACTTACTTTCCTCTTCCTCTAAGGGAGGATCGATTGGATGGTCTGTTCTTGAATTTCTCATGTCAGGAACGGCTGGCTCAGTGTAACAACCATCATCATGGTTCTGTGCTCCTTCTGCTGAGAAGACCAAAAGCCACCCGCAACCATTCAGTACATACAATTATTGGATATATATGCACACAAGCACAAATAAGCTGGAGTTTTCTACAGACTTACCTACGGGTCAGTTGTAAGAAAGAGTCAGTATGTGTCAAAACATTTCACTGTTTTCCAAGCAAGGATTTCCATACAATATTTATATATCACTTTTTTCATCTTAATTTGATGAAGCAGTTCACAGCACAAAGTGAAACCAATAACAATGAAAGTATCATAAACACACACACACATACCAGAACTATATCGATGAGAGCAAATTGATGAAGGCTGAAAAATGAAGTCTTAATATTGTATTGGCCCGAATACAAGCCACACCTGAATATAAGCCGCAGCTTTAAAATTGGGGGAATGGGGAGACAATAAAGAAAATACCCAAATATAAGCCGCTCCATTCCTCACTGCTCCTGGCTGCATACTGGGGGTGGGGGGGAGCTGCGCTGCCTTTCCCCTCCTCGCTCTCTCCCTTCCCGGCCTTGGGGGAGAGGACGGGGAACTACGTGTGTAGCGGGCGCCACTTCACCACCTTCCTGGCGCTGTTTGCCCCACGCTCCTGGCTGCATACCGTAAGGTCATGAATATAAGCCGTACTTTAACTTTTCACGGTCAGAATTTGGGGGGAAAGTGTGACTTATATTCAGGCCAATATGGTACATCAACTCCACAAAGACTTGATGAAACAGCATTTGAAAAGAAAAAGGGACTACAGTTTTTTTAAAAAAACAAACACAACAGCAGCAAACCCTGCTCCTAGTGGAAAGCATCCTAGCATCCGGAACATTTGGAATAGAACCAGGGGTTCACCCGCAGAGCTCAGTACTTGAGCCCACTGCCAAACAGATCTGGGTCCGAGAAAAATCTTGGAAGATTCTCACTCACACATAAGCTGTAAGAGGGGCCAGAATTGACCCTCCTTTTATGGCCAATGTTAACTATTTCACTGAAGTTTAGAACGTCTAATTTCAAAAGTAGCCAGGAGTCTCAGTCAGCAAAGTACATCCACCGTTTTTGCCAACTAACAAGGTATTTCAGAATGAATTCACACACTATAAGCAAATGAAGACTTAAAAATAAAACAAAACAGAGAGTGCATAGGTCACCTTGATCCCATGTCTCTTCAGAAGACCTCCTTCGTGCATTGTCTTGTTTTGCCATTCCCACAGTCCACATCATAGTAGCTATAGAGTAGAAAGGAAAATAATACATGACGAAGCTCCATATGCCATATTATATAATGCATTGCAGGTAGTTACACTTACCCATCAGTACAGTGGTACCTTGGTTCTTGAACTTAATCAGTTCCGGGAGTCCGTTTGACTCCTGAAACCATTCAAAAACCAAGGTGTGGCTTCTGATTGGCTGCAGGAGCTTCCTGCACTCAAGCAGAGGCTGCGTTGAACATTCGGCTTCCAAAAAATGTTTGCAAACTGGAACACTTACTTCCAGGTTTGCAGTGTTCGGGAGCCAATTTGTTCGACAACTAAGCCATTCAGGAACCAAGGTACATAGATTGGGTGCAGTGGGGACTATTTTGCCCAATCCATCAGTTTGTTGTTAAAAAAATTCTCCAAACTGAAGAAACACTCTGATTCCAAAGTTTTGTTAAGCCAAAACTGATTTTTCATTTTGAAGCAGAACTTATGCTGGCTGTGTTTGGACAACTATCCAGAGTTTCATAAGCTGAGCAATTCCATTTATGAAGCTTTTTAGCAAAACAAACCATGGTTTATGAAGCCATGGATGACAACCAGGACCACTTTGCAACAGCTGAAGCACAAAGACCACAGCATACATTAGGCCAATTTCTCCCCATTATGTGCAAACCAGGGAACCGAGAAAGTGTCACCTTTTTGGTGGCAGCTGCAAGCTTGCCACCCTCGGCAGGGCTTGCTTTTATGCGCAGGTGTCAAGGTCTGTTGGAACTACCTCAGGCTGCCCACACCTGTGTCCTGTTCATTAAACAGTTGCACTTCACATTCTCAGTTCCAGGCTCTTTATAGCAGGTGTGGGCAACCTTTGGCCCACCAGATATTGCTGAAATACAACACCCATCACCCTGGCCATTAGCTTGGTGGAGCTGATGGGCACTGTAGTTCACCAATATCTGGAGGGTCGAAGGTTTTCTGTATTTGTTGTTGTTGTTTGAATTTATATACCGTCCTATACCTGAAGGTCTCAGGGTAAAGATCAACATAAAAACCACAATATATATAATCAAAATAAAAACAACCCAATAACACCCCCCCAAGAGCCACACTTTAAAAGGGCATAGGATGTTAATAAGGTAAACCAAAGGCCTGGTTAAAAAGATGCGTTTTTGCCAGGCGCCAAAAGATGTATACCTGAAGGCACCAGGTAAAATTTCCTGGGGAGAACATTCCGTAGACGGGGAGCCACTGCAGAGAAGGCCCATTCTCGTGTTGCCACCCTCCGCACCTCTTGAGGAGGAGGCACACAAAGAAGGACCTCAGAAGATGATCTCAGGGTCCGGGTAGGTTCATATGGAAAGAGGCGGTCCTTGAGGTATTGGGGTCCTGAGTCAATGTTGCTACACTGCAGGGTATATTCTGCAATGGACGCCCCTACTCCCCCTCTGTTTTACTCACACGAATAAATAAGTGCCGGAAATATGGGCTCATTTCTCTCTTGCGCTGTTTCCACTAACATCCTGAGCGGCCCCTTTGGGCACAAGACAGCCACCAAGTCTGGAGAGAGAGAGAGAAAGAAAGAAAGAAAGAGAGAGAGAAATCCATTTGATCCCAAATCACTTCGTAAGTATTTCATTTTCTTGCCATTTAGCAGCAGGTCATTTTTTCCTACTTATTTTTGTTTTTAAGTATGCACGGCAGACGCATTTCAGTCACTGCAGTGTAAGGGGTTGTTCTATTTATAGATATGCCCTCTTGGCAGCTTACAAGATAAAATAATCAGAAATCAAATCATGAGCAGCAAATTAAAAACACACAGCTATCAAGTCAAAAAGACCACTTTGAAAAATAGAAAGCAGAGGAACGCAACTCCATGGCATTGAAACAGAACAGAGAAATAAAAATTATCAGAGCTACCGCAGTGCTTCCCCAATCAAATAAACTAAGTTCTGGGAAAACAAAAGAGGTATTTACGTAGTGCCAGACAGACACTTAAGGTAGATATCAGGCGGGCCTCTCTAGGAAGACCATTGCAGACACAGGCCCAATGCTGAAGAGGTGCTTACATACATGACCATTGTCCAAACCTCATTGGGAGGGAGAATTTGAAAAAGGGACCTTGGGCAACAACCTCAAGGCATGGGAAGGAACCAGGGGGTGAAGAGCTAGCATTTGGTTCAGATGAATCTGAAACTGGGTCAGTTCAGAGATTTAACCCTTGTCCAGGGTGAAGTGGCTGTCCTCCAAAACAGCCTAAAGCAACTTGGATCCTTCTCAAACCTTTGGGACTGATTCAGAGAGACACAGACTGGGTGTAGATGAAAAACAGGGAGGGGAGAGGGAGAGAAGGGGGAGTAGTTTTGTCACTGACAAACCTACACTTAAAAATTAGGTGCAGCTGCAGCCACATGAACCACGGTTGTTGGGTTCAGATGTAACTCTAAACCAGAGGTCGGCAACCTAACGCCCATGGGCCGGTTCCAGCCCATGAGCCTCCCGGAACCGGCCCAAGGCCATTTCCGTGGATTGGGGTGGGGATTCCATGTTTTTTCCCCGCAGTGTGGGTCCCCCCCCCTCACCACAGCGGAACCTCCTCCCTTCCCCTTGTGCAGCAAATTGCCAGCCAATCGCCTGCTAAGGTTTGAGGCCCTGGCCAATGGGCGAGTGGTGGCTGCGTGTGGCCGAGAGGAGGAAGGCAGCTGGGCTGAGGTGGCTGAGCGCATTTTCAGCAGCCCCTTGTTGGAGCAAGCTGTTTGCCGCTGCCGCTCTGCCAAGCGCAGCTCCTGTGCCTGCCCTTGCGAGCAGCAGAGGCTGTCGTCGTCACGAGCAGCCCGAAAACAGCCCTTTCGGGCTGCTTGTTCTTCCTCTGCTGCCATCACCACCCTCTGCCTCTCGGCAGCAGCCTAGGTAGGCAGGGGGACGGGAGGGGCTGGGGGAAAGAGGGGGAGAGAGAAGTCCCCTTTGCTGTGCATGCACACACACACTCCGGCCCACCAGGAGGTTTGTGGTGTGGTGAACTGGCCAACCCCTCAAAAAGCTTGCCGACCCCTGCTCTAAACTATACTTGGTTCAAACCATGGTTCAATAGACAAAAAAGCGATGGGTCTCTCCTCTTTACTTCCATTCACAGAATGCTACAGGGGAGGGATATAGATGGGATAAACAGTTGACAGTTCATGTCAAAAACATAAACAGAGCTTCTCAACTTGTTCCATTCATCATGATTCCCTAATCCCTGCACCAATCTGTCTCCTATTTTTTTCCAGTTTTCTTTCTAGGAAGCCTTCTGCAATGCTTGCAGAGGAAGCTGATGTGTCAAGGAGGAGATCTTGGGCCCATTAAAAGGCCAAAAACAAATTGTCAATTATTCTATTGTCATCCAGGTGCAAATTCGCTGTGCATGCAAAAGCGAATGTCCTCTGTTGAACCCTGGAAAGCCACTGCTAATCAATGTGAACTATGCGACTTGATACAAGTCAGGTTCCCGAGGGTTCCTCTCTCAGCCATCCCCCTGAAAAACACTGTAATGGAAAAGGGGCCATTAGCTGACTATGAAATATTGCTGGTACAAACACCGATTTAGGCTAGCTCCTGTGAGTTTCCCTTTTCCTAGCTAAAGAATGCGATGAACGGGGGGAAATCACCCTGAAATCTCTTCCATTACCCAGAAATCTCTTCCATTACAGACGTACCGTAAACCGATATGCCTCCCAGAATGACCCAGGCTGACCACTCAGGCAGATACTTAATGAAGACTAAAGCCATCAAGGCACTGATCATGATGAGATAGGCTTGCTGGAGGTGCAAGGGCCCCTTCCAATGGATGCAAATCATCCCAACAGCTCCAAAATTCCAAATGAAGAAGAACAGGGTGGGATAATCCATGGCCACATTGTAGGTCTTTAGCACTTCACTGCAGAACAAAACAAAAAAGAAGTTTAGTCAAGGAAACAAGTAATAACAAGAAGAAGAATGATGTTGTCATTTGTACCCTGCCCATCTGACTGGGTTACTCCAGCCACTCTGGGTGGCTCGCAAAGTAACCACTAGAAGACAACATTGCAAACAATGTAATGAGGATTTTGCCCTGATGTAAAACAGATCAGGGATTCTAATCTTTTCGTTATTATCAAACACTCAGAAGTCAGAAACTCATGCTAATCTGCTGACACAGTCATTGGCTGGTCTCTACCTTCTGTCTAGCCCTGCTGAGTTGCTAAGGATCAACAGCACTTACTCACACTTACCCAAGGTAGATGTAGGTGAAAAGGAACAGCAGCATCAGAGATGAGAGAATGAGCCAGCCATGAATGAACTGTTAAAACAGAAGGTACACATGGTTGCTTTGCACAGATTTATCAAAGAAGTGCTCCTCTCCTCAACCAGTTTCTTAACCATACTGCTTGTTTTTCAGGCCATGGCTTGGTTTGCATATAACGTGAAGCCATGGCTTGTTTTGGCAAAGTGTGGTTTGTCTGAATTTCTGAATCCAACCCAAAACTATAGTTTAGTTTTTTTAGCATCAGACTATGATGCAAAGCCATTGCTTTTTTAGGTGTCTAGTGAACCATGGCTTGACAAAGTATAGTTTAGAGTTATGTCTGAACCCAACAACCATGGTTCATTTGGCCACCCTATCCCAAACACCTGCCACACCACAGAAACACCAAGCCAAGAGCAGCTGGAAAACAAAACAGGCTTTGGACAAACCATGGTTAAAGCACACCATGGCTTAGACCTATGTGCCAAAGATTTTGAACATGCGGCTTCCCTCTTGAGGTGTTTCGTTCCTTCTCTTTCCAGGGCTTCCTTGATATCAGACTTCAAATGCTGCTACGGTTAACATCAAGAGCAATGAAACAGATGCACCAACCATCCATCAGGCTTTAAGGCATGTTTGCTTTATGGAAACATTTCTGATGCAGCAATCAGGAAGCTCAAGAAATGGAAAGATGAAACTAGAAAGCCCTGGGAATAGTAACCTTTTGGCTCAGAGTGACTTTGAGCAAAAACGTGAAAGGTCAGTGTATATTTGTGAGTTTTGTTCAGTGTCTTGATCAGGGATAGGAAACCTGTGGCTCTCCAAGTGTTGTTCAACTGTAAGTCCCATCATGCCTGACCACTGGCTGGGGCTGATGGGAGCTGGAGTCCAACAGCATCTGGGAGGAACACAGGGACAAAAGGTTCCCCATCTTTCTGCTCCAAAGTACTTGTCAGAGATCTCCTTATTACAGGTCCCAAGAATCTTTGGCACACCACATTCTCTTCAGTTCAGAGGCACCGTGGTGTCCTCCTTGCTTGGGTGCCAGTGTCATCATGTTATACTTTGATGCACTTTTCTCCCATGTGGCCTGAAATTGACATGCACTATTTGGTTTATCGGTTCAGGGGACACAGAACAAACAAAACCTGATTCATAGAAACTAAGTGGCAACCTCTCTTGGTAATCTGATCCCTTATCTTTTGAAATTTGCCAGTTTGGATGGCCGCAGGTTCCCCATGCCTGTACTAGCCTAAGTCAACCTCCTATGATATGACTTTACTGCATAGCCCCTTAGGAAGCCTGCAGGGATCACCCAGATACTGTTGAAACACAACTCTTTGCAAAGGGATGCATTTGCTATGTATTACCCAAAGAAGCGTTTGTGCTTTCTCCAAGTGCTTCTTCCTGCTCTTTCATTAAATCCTTACAACATTCAATTACCTTCTCTTTAATAAAGTGCCTGAGCTTTATTAAGTTCTTGGGAGGTTATCCAAAATAACTAATAAAGCAGATGAACAACTGGTCGCAGTCTCTCCTTTTAGAGAGAGGGGGAAAAGCTGTTGCGTAAGCACTCTTTGGTGTCTTCTGAAGACCTGCCATCTCCCAACTTCTCACTCTTCATAATGAACTGCTGGATATTCTCCTTGATGCACTTGGGATTGTTTAAAGAGGAGGTCTGCACAATTTCTGACCTCCCCGCTGGACAGAGCCCACCAGATATGTACTGTGGCTTGCCAAGCTCTGTTTTCATAATCCCAGGCAGACAGCAAGGACAGGCAGTTTAATCAAGTCCCTTGTGGACCACCATATATGGCAGGTGGGCTGCTCTTTGCTCGATGGGTTACAAAATGTGCAGGCCTGTTTTAAAAACACCAATTTCACGCTTCAACACAATCAAGTTTCTTGACCTATTTTGGAATGAAGTGGTCTTTCATTTTGTCTTTTAAAAAAATTGATTCATATGACATGAAGAAACTCTTTCAAAGCTCCATGTCAGTCTAATCCCATGGAAATGGCTTGTTTACCCAAACCCATTTGAAATACTGTAGACAGGCACAAAATGATGTATCCTGCAACCTTCTTAGTATCTGTAGGGTTGCCAACAAAAACCACACTAAACCAGTTACTGGATGACCATACATTCCATGTTGCTGAATCTAAAATTTGGACTTCCTCCTTGCCTATGACCAAGTTATCAGTCCTTTCATTTAAGGAATGAGAATCCCCAAATTTTTGGAAGGGGAGTTTTGGGACTGCATGATCACCATTGTACCATGCAAGGTGCAGTATCAGTCCAAACCTTCTCACTCAGAACTATGGCCAAACAGGGAAATAAACAGACAGGGTAAAAAGATACAGTGGTACCTCTGGATGCGAACGGTATCTGTTCTGGAGCCCCGATTGCATCCTGAAGAGACCGCAACCTGTGTCTGCATGCGTCGTGATTCGCCGCTTCTGCGCATGCACGTGGCGTCATTTAGAGTGTCTGCGCATGTGCAAGCGGCGAAACCCGGAAGTAACGCGTTCCGTTACTTCCGGGTCGCTGCGAAGCGCAACCCAAAAACGCTCAACCTGAAGAAACTTTAACCTGAGGTATGACTGTACGTTTATGGAAGTAAGTCTGATTCAGAAATGATAATTAGCATATTAATTCTGAGCCTAAGCACAGAACTTGCCCAGCAATATCATAGCAGAATTTTGGAAATAGTACAGTGCATCTTTGGCTCTTGAAATAACATTATAAAAGCTAAGGGGGAAGTCTGAAAGGGCTCTCACCATAGGGAGAGCCTGAAGTGAGTGCCTAAATCAAATGATTCTGCAGGTTTTCAATGTTCTTCTGTTTGTAGTGAAGAAAAGCTGGTTGTGGAAGGCATCTATTGGCTAGTGCTTATTATACCAGGCAGCCCATGTGGTGTTGGTGACATGCTATTGGACTACAACTCCCATCATCCTCAATCACTGTCCATGCTGGCTGGAGCTAATGCAAGTTGAAATCCTACATCTATTAGGCACCAGGTTGGCTACCTTGGCATAGGGCATCACCAACACACTTCCCACCCTGGAAAAGTTTTGAAATAGTTTGTCAGTTGTTCATGGATGATACCTCTAGAAATATATCTAAACTGCTTTTAAAAACATCTCTGAGCCTTAAAAACACACACGTGAGCAATACACTTGAATGGAGGAGCAAAAACACATGACCGGTTTCTGACTTACAGGTATACAAGGCAAATTGAGAAGATCCATTGTGAGGACTGCTAAAATGGTATGTCTGTTTTCATCGCTTGCAAATCTTAGGCCATCGCCTTACCTTGTAACAACGGTACTTGTATAACAGAACCAAGAAGATCGTCATTACTACTATGACACTGATCATGATTATGGTATTCAGCACAGAGTTCAAGAGACGCTGGCCCACATTGGGCGTGTCTTCCGTAAATGGGGTATAAATCCTGCAAGAAAAGCATAGCATGTCTTTTTCTTTTAAAAAAAGTGGTTTTGCTCTGGCACAAATCGATCAGCAATATACTTAAGCCAATGCAAATCCCCAACTCTAATTGACGAAAAGGTGGCCGAAACAAGGTGCATCAACTAGACTCTGAGCTGACCCTTCCAGTAAGTAGGGACTGAGATTTGTGTTGGAATAGCAAAGGGTCAATTGCAGAGAAAGGAGGACGGCAAAAGATCAAATGAAAAGAAAGGAGGCTTGTTTGGATGTAGCCTTAAAGGCAATCACATTACCCAGAGTCAGACAAGGACTACTTACAGCTGTCCATTCTTCTCGGTGTAAAACCGCACCGACTTTATGGTTGCAACGACCACAACCATGCACAACGTGACAGGCACAAACAGCATGATCACATGTTTCGCTCCATATTTCAAGGTCAGCTCTTCCTCCTCGCTATCCACGGCAGCAAGCACTCTGGCTATTCTTTCCGTGTCGGCCGTGTTTCCATCAGCCGTTTTGTTGGAGCTCCCGCTGCTGCCAGGGCGCCCTTTCTACAAAGGAAGAACATGCAACAGGGGTTAGCAGCTGGCAGGTCCTATACCTGGATCACCAGGTGTCCGCCCAAGTTACCCGGCCTCCATCCCACTCTGCTCATCTGCTCAATTGCCAACCTACCAAAGTTCATTTATCCCACAAAATGTAAAAGAGAAAAGAAAAAAAGCATCTTCTACAACTCTACTACAATTCCCATCATCCCTCACCACTGGTCCTGTTAGCTAGGAATGATGGGAATTGTAGTCCCAAACATCTGGAGGGCCGGAGTTTGCCTATGCCTGTTCTACAGGGTATAACTTGGAAAACAGAAGGCGCAGGCAGTGCTCCTTGCCCTCAGCAATCCCTCCATTCAATAACCCACCCAAATGATTGGAGGTTGAGGAGACTTTGGCCTGCACAGGGCTTGCCTATGTTCTGCCACAGGGATGAGGAACCTTCTTTCAGACAAAGGTCCATATTCCCTAGTGGGCTATCTTTTGAGGAGGGTGTGTGTGTCACATAACAGCGGCAGGCAGAAGCATAGGCAAAACACAGATGGCACTCTTACTTTTGGACTATATGCTACATTCCAGTCATGCTATAGTCAGAGGTTCTCTCTCTCTCTCTCTCTCTCTCTCTCTCACACACACACACACACACACACACACACGCAAAATTTGATGCTCCAGGTAAGCAAGATGCTTTTGCTCAGTTTAATTACACATTCGGAATGTGACATTCCAGCCAGAAAAAAGCACCTGAGGAAGGTGCAATGCTAGTGAAGGCTGTGGCATGGGGAGAGTCCAGAAGGCTACATTTGGTCTCCAGACCATCTCTGTTCTAGAGAATTTGAGCATCACCAGCTCCTCTTAACAGGAACATCGTCTCCACCTTGTGTCACTCATTCTAAGGCTTGAAAACAAGCAAAAAAACCCCCACACAGATAAGTGACTCAGGAAGGCATATGAAGGAAGAACCCGCAGAGAGGACAAGATCAGGGTTTTACAAAGTGTTCCTTCTTCCCAGAAGCGGAAATACACCTACCCTGTGCGTGAGTGTTTCTCCCGCTTCTGGTGTTTGTGTGTCATCTTGGTAAGAAGGCAGAAGGGGGCTCTCAGCCGACATCAAGGACGTTCTCTCGTTGCAGGGTTCCTCCTCGCTGTCTGAGTTGTTCATGAAGGTGATCATGCTTCCTCCTTCACAGAGAACCTTGCAGTGCTCTATTAGAGACCCACAAAAGGTTGAGCCATGGGAGAACGGCAAGAAAAAGTCAAAATCATGACACCTACAAACTTATTTTGAGCACAGCCCACATAAGGCTACTTACACATAATCAAAGCACAATACAATTTAAAACGAAGAAAAACTAGGCAATTTATACGCATCGGCACAAAACTTCAGGGGAATCCCCACTTACACAGGGGTTCCATTCTGGACGTGAACAAGTGGGGGTTCCCCTGTTCTGCCCGCCCCCTCTCACAGTTTTCAGTGTGCGTGTCAGCGAAGTCGGAAGATGCCTGTGTAAGTTTCAGCAGAGTAAAACATAAAAAACACCCTATGGGTGATATTCAATGTTAGTCCTACTCAGAGTAGACCCACTGAAGTTCATGAATGTGATTAACTTCGACCCACCAAAATTAATGAACCTGTTCTTAGGACTTAGTTGAATACAAAAACATTCTAAATTTAAGGTCATCAATTAAGAGTCTAAAATAGGAGGTCAGCCTAAACAAAAAGGATTTTAAAACTTTTTAGATATAGCGAGAACCAGCAATGCCAAATTATATTTTCTATTGCCAGATACACTGAGACAGGGAAGCATCCACATATCTTGTGGATCTTATGCTAAACTAATCCACACTGTGAAACTGTATTTTGTGCTACTTAAAAGTTCATATATACATATACTGTAAATATAAGACACACAGAGAGAGGTGTCCATTTTTTGGCAGAAGTAACGGAAAACAATTTGGAAAAGCCTTGAGGCAAAAGAATATAGGAATTCTGAGTTCCACAGTTCCAAAGATAGACGGACTGGTTTGGAAAAGGATTAATGGCACTTCTGCACTGCGATGATTCTCTGTGGCTCTTACAAGCCAACTCCTAAAGAAAGGAAAGCTGGACAACATCCCGGAAGTTCGGGATGTGCTCCGAGTGTCTTGATGGAGAATATGTGGTAACTACTACCCACCTAAAGGGACGCGGGTGGCACTGTGGTCTAAACCACAGAGCCTTGGGCTTGCTGATCGGAAGGTCAGTGGTTCGAATCCCCACAACGGGGTGAGCTCCCATTGCTTGGTCCCTGCTCCTGCCAACCTAGCAGTTTGAAAGCACATCAAAGTGCAAGTAGATAAATAGGTACTGCTCTGGCGGGAAGGTAAACGGCGTTTCCGTGTGCTGCTCTGGTTCGCCAGAAGCGGCTTAGTCATGCTGGCCACATGACCCGGAAGCTGTACGCCGGCTCCCTCGGCCAATAAAGCGAGATGAGCACCACAACCCCAGAGTTGTCTGCGACTGGACTTAATGGTCAGGGGTCCCTTTACCTTTACTACCCACCTAATCTCCCTTCCCTGATCACCTGCCTCTTAGAGAAAAGCAAGATCTTTTGCTGAAAACCCACTGGTGCTCATCTAGATACGCCTGTGGTGGTGGGGGGTGGTGAGTTGCAATCAAAGAAACACACTTAAACCAATGATTGGGGAAAGGAAACCTTCATTCACTGAAAAGTAGTAAACTGCACAGAAAGTTGGCCTTTTAGAATGGTTCACAGTCACGTTTTCCATACACATAAGCAGTGGTAACATGCCCTCCAGGACTGAAGGGCATCAGCATGGACAGAGCCATACACCAGGGGTCGGGAATGTGCAGCCCATGAAGACTGTTTACCGGCCCCCGAACTGAGCCACCCACTCAGCGAGTCCCCCGCACGCTGCGCTAAACCAGTGCAGCACGGCGCGGGGACTCACCGAGCGGTGCTGGAAATCATGTCTGCACACGTGCAGATACCAGAAATCACGTCTGTGCAGGCGCAACTTTCAGCTCCTGGGCATACGCAGAAGCGATTTCTGGCACCGCAGACATGCACAGACGCAATTTCCGGCATTGCGCTGCATCTGTCCGGCCCACGGATGATTTCCATGGGAGTGATCCAGCCCATGGCCGGTAAACCTTGCTGACCCCACCATACTCACACTCATGCCAGATTGCTGTTCCCTTTTGTTTCCTGAAAGAAGCACAATGCTGCACCAGTGCATTTAGATTCAGCTTCTGAGCGGTCTATGAGCCTACGGTAGGGTGGAAGCCAATGGGGAAACAACATACACACTCCCCACCTCATCGCAGGGTTCAGCATCCGCCCTGCCCAAACTGATTTGTGGCTGTATCTTCATAACAGCTTTCTGAAAACACTTTGGAACATAATAATCACCACACACAAAGGGAAGGAAAAATCACCTGTGCTGGAAGTGGTTCTGAATCTCTGGATGCTATCCTTCGATACAGATTTTTGTAACATTGAGCAGGGCCTCCCAAGTTTGAAATCCAGGCCTCAGAGGTTGAAATCTACCGAGAATTAGGAAACTTCGATTCTATGCTAAGTTCTACCTGCTATCTTGCTGCATGTTGTAATCTAGACCAAGCAAAATGAAATATTTACACTTGTTCCCTGTTATCTGATAAGCCCAACTCACCCTCAGCTTCCTCTAAGGAAGAGATGGGGAGACACTGGGATGGTTTGCAGTTGACCAGCAAGGGTTTCCAACTTTGAATACTTCAATAATAGCAAATAAAAATAAACAAATCTCTTCCATGGCTGGCCTTATGCTAGTTCTTCTCTCTCTCAGCCTCAAGAGTTCCTCTGCTGTAGGAGAGTATGAGCTGGCTGCTCTTGACTACTGGCCAAGTTTAGAATTTGATATATACAAATCCAATCTGTATTAACCCCTATGCAAATTTGTACTTTTATGTGTATGTCAATGTATGGCTTAGGGCAGTCTTTACCAATGAGTGCCTTCAAGATGTTTTGGACTACAACTCCCATCAGCCCTAGCTAGCACGTGTTGGGTTATTTTAGATATGTAGTCCAAACCAATGGGAAGGCGCCCAGTTGGCGAAGTCTGGTTTCTAGGTTGTGAAGCTTGACATTTAATTCACAAATGGAGTCAGTTTTGCCTTCCCAGGTCCAGACGCATTTGCTTTTGTTCCACTGTTGGGTCTAGTTGGACTGTGGAAAGTTGGACAAGGGCACCCCTCTAGTTCAAAACATCTTATGATCAACAAGGCTCTGGAAATGGTTGTGGGAGTTCAGCCAGGATAAGAGAAGAATAAAAGGAGGTATGATGGCCATCGTCAAATATCTAAAGGGCTGTCACATGGACGATGGAGCAAACTTATTTTCTCCTGCTCCGGAGGGTAGGACCCAAACTAATGGCTTCAAGTTACAAGAAAGGAGATTCTGACTAAACCTCAAGAATAACTTTCTGACAGCAAGAGCTCTTCGACAGTGGAATGGACTCCCTCAGAAGGTTCCAGACTTTCCTTTCTTGGAGATTTCTAAGCAGAGGTTGGATGGCCATCTGCCATGGATGCTTTAGTTGAGATTCCTGCATTGCAATTCTATCACTGTGTCTTCTTCAGCTTTGGAAAACAAAAAATGAGATGCTATCTCCACAGAACATATGCTTAAAGAGCTCAAGTGTGTGTTGTGTCGCACTGCTGATGATGCGTGTTTGTTTGGACTAGCAGCAATTGGCAAGGGGACCAACAAGTTCCCATGTGGCTTGTGATTATCAGGCGCACTGGAGTCAGGTTGACTGAAACAAACATGACAAGATTTGCTGCACGAGCACAGAAGTGGAGCATGAAAAGGGCTCATCTACAGAGTGGATATTTTAGAAGTAGACACAATCTGCTCCTGTTGTGCATTTACCATATTTTTCGCTCTATAGGACACATTTTCCCCCTCCAAAAATGAAGGGGAAATTTGTGTGTGTCCTATGGAGCGAACGCAGGCTTTCGCTGAAGCCTGGAAAGCCCTGTGCACACCGACACCTCCCGCTCTCCAGGCTTCAGGCAGCTATCCACAAGCCTTCGGAGCACTCCGAAGGCTTGCGGATGGCAGTCTGAAGCCTGAAGCCCGGGGAGTGCAGCGCCAACTGCCGCTGCGCTCTTCTGGCTTCAGGCAGCAATCCGCAAGCCTTCTGAGCCCGGCGGGAGTTCCCGCCGCGCTCCGAAGGCTTGTGGAACGCAGCCTGTTCTCCGCAAGCCTTCTGAGCACGGCGGGAGTTCCCGCTGGGCTCCGAAGGCTTGCGGATAGCTTGTTCCGGGGGCTGGGGAAGCCCCTGTCCCCAGCCCCGCAAGCTCCGGGAGCGGCGACAAGGTTGTGAGCAATCTCGCCGCCTCTCCTGGACCTGTTTTGGGGGCTGGGGTCAGGGCTTCCCCCATCCCCAGCCCTGCAAGCTCCGGGAGCTCTTTGGGGCTGGGGAAAAAAATAATCCCCCCCCTTTATTCCCCCCCTAAAAACTAGGTGCGCCCTATAGTCTGGTGCGCCCTATAGAGCGAAAAATACGGTACATGGTCCTTTAAATCTACAGGCTCTGGGGGTTTCTTCCAGAACTTGTGCTTCTCTTATCACATGGCAAACAGGTCTAACTGTGAGACAAGCATGGAATGTACAGTTAGGCACTCCACTTTCTTTATAGGCCTTTTTGAGGGCCAGTCCTCACATTTCTTACCAGTACTTTTAACAAAAAAAATTGTAGTTCTCTTCACTGCTCCTTTAATATTACCCTCTCTCATCTTTGACTATGCATCCTTAAAAAAGAAAAAACGTGTATGACTAAATGAGTATCTCTGAGCATGAATGGAGTCCTTTTCCTCCACACTGAGCTCCTGCAATCTACTCCCACACAGTTAAGGAACAGGGCTTCCCCCTAGGGCAGGTGACAAGGCTCCCAGGAAATCCTCAACAGTAGCATCTTTCAATTTTAAGAACGAGATTTAATTTCCTTCCACAGGGCCTGTAAGACAGAGCTATTCTGCCTGGCTTTCAATTTGAACTTAGCCTGATTTTTTACTCCCCTTCCTTCCCTCCCTCTCCCCTTTTTATGAAGATTACCCACTCTGGGATCCCACAGCTAATTCTCCCCTGGTCTCCTCGCTGGCCCAAATAGGACTAATTTAGCCAGCTAGCTCTGGTGATCATCTAATGTTTATTGGATGGATTTTCCACCTAAATTGTTTTATGCTGTTTTTGTTGCAGCAATTAAGTGTTTTAAATTTGTTGTTAGCTGCCCTGAGCCTGGTTTTCTGAATCGGGAAGGGTGGGGTATAAATAAAATTATTATTATTATTATTATTATTATTATTATTATTAACAGAATCCTGATGACACAATCTGTTCTTGGTAACCTTTGCACAACTTGCAATTTCTGGTGTTCTTGAACACCATTGCTAAACTTTTATATCTACATACTTTTAGCCCTACTTCATGCTATGTCCCCAGCTGGGATTGTGAGCTGCTAATTTACCCACAACACCGGCTGGCATATCATTATAAAACAAAAAAAGGCATCTTGTTTACAATGTGCCCTGGTGAGAACAATGCAATCTTTAGAGAGTCAGGTGCCAAGGTTACTGTTCTAAAAGGTACTTTGCTTTCCCTGAAATGGTTAGGATTGACACCCAAGAAACATTCTCAAGGTTAGGTGGAAAATGAGAGTATGAAGGTCAAGCAAGGAAATTACAACAACCTGCGGAAGCTGAACCACCTCTCCCCCCCCTCACGTTGTCCTGTGGGAAAGAACATGCCTTACACCAAGTCAGACCATTGGTTTATCCAGCTCATCACTGTCAACTCTAGGGCTGGGTGATACTGGTATATTGATATATTGCCAGAAACCAGTTTGAAGTCCATAATGTGATATTGGTTTGAGAAGTTTTGACCTGGCAATATACAGTCATACCTTGGATCCCAAACACCTTGGTAATCAGGATGTTTTGGCTCCAGAACGCCGCAAACCCAGAAGTGAGTGTTCTGGTTTGCTAACGTTCTTCGGAACCCGAACATCCGGCGGGGCTTCTGTGGCTTCTGATTGGCTGCAGGAGCTTCCTGCAGCCAATCAGAAGCCACACTTTGATTTCCGAACATCAACTTTTGGAAGTTGAACGGACTTTCGGAACGGATTCCATTTGACTTCCAAGGTACGACTGCATCGTGAATCATGATGTGAGTGTGTGTTGTGCAAAAATCACAATGTGAGAATTACGTGAAAGCCAGCCAATGCCTCTGCATAACTCCATCTTATTTCAGACATTGTGAGATATAGGTATATTGTGATGTTTCACTGCTGATATATCACTATGTTGAAAACCAAATATCACCCAGCCCTAGTCAAGACTAACTAGCAGTGCATTTCCAGGATTCTGGACATTTCATGTGGGTGACTGAATCAGAGTACCTGCAAAGCAGATATTGCCTTTTAAATAAGGAAGGACCCTGAAGTCTTGCTATATAGTATTAACATTGCTTATTGTATTCTGTGTGTGTTCATGCTCACTCTTGTAATAAACAGCTTTGTTTGTTTTTTGAATAGCAGAGTAGCTTATACATGCACCGTTGTCATTATGTTTTTAAAGGATGAAATAGAAATCTACTCAGTTAAAAATGGAACTATTAAGCACAATTAGTTATTCAACCTAACAAAGCGATACTAGAACTAAAGCTATTATAATTTGTAAGGATTAAATATGCAATTTTCCCTTGTTTATTGTTTAGGGTAAATGACAAAGGCAAAGCATCCAGCTACTTCAGTTGAAGCCATGGAATTAAGGGACCAGTATGGCAAAGCATAGGGATGCGGGTGGTGCTGTGGGTTAAACCACAGAGCCTAGGGCTTGCTGATCAGAAGGTCAGCAGTTTGAATCCCCGCGATGGGGTGAGCTTCCGTTGCTCGATCCCTGCTCCTGCTAACCTAGCAGTTTGAAAGCACGTCAAAGTGCAAGTAGATAAATAGGTACTGCTCTGGCGGGAAGGTAAACGGCATTTCCGTGCGCTGCTCTGGTTCGCCAGAAGCGGCTTAGTCATGCTGGCCACATGACCCGGAAGCTGTACGCCGGCTCCCTCGGCCAATAAAGCGAGATGAGCACCGCAACCCCAGAGTCTGTCATGACTGGACCTAATGGTCAGGGGTCCCTTTACCTTTACGGCAAAGCATCAACATATCCCAGGGCTCCCCCCCCCCACACCTTTCGAGTCCTACAACCTTCCTTGGGGCTGCTTAAGAAAGTAAGTCTGTATACCCAGAGGCAAGAAAGCTGAGGTCAAGGAACTTGTGCCCTTAGCTCCCCCATTATACACTATGCATTTGTTTTATTATTTTTAAAATTATAAACCACCACATTGGATGCCTGAGCAGAAAGGCAGTATAGAAATCATTTCTTGTGCTAAATCCCATGGCAATCAAACTCAGCATGCAGTTACTGATGAATTTGTTTGAAGCTGCCTTAGGACCTGCATTTAAATTGCAAGAATAAACAATACAACTATCTTTTGATTATCGTTCTCAAATACAAAAGAAAACATTTTAGCACACAAATCATTTTGAATACGCTTGTGAATTGTGATGCTAAAATTTTAAGTCTCTTAAAAGTTTTGATTTCAGGCACATCAAAATCTCACTGTGCACACCTTTTTCTTTGCACATTTTGTCACTAATTCCTTCAGGTCAAGCGCTGATGCATGCCAAGCCAACTCTTTTGCAACATTGTTGAGTGTATGTAAGTTTTTATAAGTTTGAGCTATGAGAAACTATGTTCACCACTTGCCACTGACAATGGAATTTTGAGAAGGATCCTTGGAACAACAGAAACATTAGACACATCACCCATAACTCTTTATGGCAGCACAGGCTATGGAAGACTTCAAGCTATTGCTGTAAGTTTACCACACAGTTCTTCAGCATCAGTACCTTGGTTTCCATTGTGCATCCATGATTTCTGCAATTTTTGCAAGCCTCAAGTACACCTCCAGTAGATTTTTGTTGATACTATATACTGTATCTACTTCTGAAGATGACGAGTGAGACCTCGTCTGAAGCGTCGCCTAGACACCCCAACTTTTACACGGGAAGACACCCGAGGACACCAAAACCTGCATTCCTGTACCCGTGAAAATCTACGAAAGCAAACATGTATCTACTTCATATATACATTTTTAAAAAAATCTAATGTATGAATTACTTCAAAGATGATAAAATTCTTCAAAATGTAAAAGGAAAATCTTATCAGAAAATTATAACAAAAACTAATTTGTAGAAAACTGTGCCCCTCTAAAGTCAGTACAGTACTGCACTCCTCTGAAGTCTGCACCCTAGGCAGCTGCCTAGTTGGCCTAATGATAGCACCCACCCTGGTCATAGGCTAGCAGCAGCTAAGTTCACATTTTCAGTGTTGTTGTTGCTATTAACTAATTAAACTCATACGCCACCCTGGAGACAACACTTTCTATAGCGTACCATAACTGTGATCAGATAAGTGCCTCTAAGACAACAGCCAGCAGTACACTTTTCACTTTCCTTGGACAGGAAAACAAAAACATAAAACGCTGAATTCGGGAGTGCTCATTTAAAAGGGCAATGCAAAAACACCCAAAATAATGATGATGGCAGAAACCAGGCATAGGCAAACTTGGCTCTCCAGATGTTTTTGGGACTACAACTCCCATCATCCCTAGCTAACAGGACCAGTGGTCAGGGATGATGGGAGTTGTAGTCCCAAAAACATCTGGAGGGCCCGAGTTTGATTATGCCTGGCAGAAATAATAACACCCCCACTGAAGATCTTCCGGCACTAAGAGCTTGCTGGGCATCTTTCACGAACTACAGTATATTCAAAGCAGGGAGGCATTTTAAATGTTTTACCACTCCCTGGTAAAGAGGAAGTCTGCAGGGCACAGTTCCCTCCGGCGTTCCCCACTCCAGGCCCATAGCAGGGATCCACCCTCAGGGAGAGAGTCCTGGGAGATCCCCCCTTTTCCCTAAGGCGACCTCTTCTTCCCACCCACTCGCATCGCGGTCTTACTTTGCTGCCCGCAGCCCTTTGCACCGGATTCAGTCCAAGGCTGTAATCCTTGAAAGCCAGAGAGACGCCCGGAAGTCGGGAGCTGCCGGGCAGAAAGCGCTCGCTTGCACCGCGCCTCCGAGACCCTCACCTGGCTGGGTCGCGCCGTCCGGCCGGCCAGATTCTGCCGCGACCCGAAGCCACGAGTTCCAGGACTTCTTCACCTGGCCGCCCGGCTCCTTAACCCCTCGGACGGCTCTTCCGCTCCTGATTGGCTCCGGCGCGTTCTCTTTCTCGAAAGGCTGCTTTCGGAATGCCGCGTCTCCTCATTGAGGCAGGCGGCTGCCGCTCAAGAAATGCCCAGCCTTCTGCCCAATGAGGAAGATGGGCAGGGCGGCAACCGACCAATGGGAAGCAAGGCTCGTCAGTATTTCCTCTGTTGGGGTGTGTGTGTTTTTAAAGGTCTGTGCTGCAAATAAACAGCAACGAGTTGGGAGCCCGGTAGGGAAATGAGGTCGAATCTGTGGCTCGCGGCTACGGATGCATGAGAAGGGAATGCAGTAGTTTTGTCACCTTCTGCAATTCCTGTCTATAAATCTGCACTGCTGGTTGATTGCATTTCTCCTCCTGTGATGAGGCTGCTTTTTAATGTTTTAATGTTGTATTTTAATCTTGTTTTTAAGTTGTATTCAATCAACTTGTTTTTATTATTGGTTGTTAGCCGCCCTGAGCCCGGCCTTGGCTGGGGAGGGTGGGGTATAAATAAAATTTATTATTATTTATTTATATTCTGCTTTTTCTCCAAGGGGCTCAAGGTGGAAAACCTGGTTCTGCCCCCCCTCCACCTCGTGTCCTCAACAGCAGCCCTGTGAGGTAGGCTGGGTGGAAAGGCAGCGACGGATTTGAACCCTGATCTCCCAGGGCCTGGTTCAACACTCTGACCACTGCACCACGCTATTAATAACATATGCATGTGGCTGAGAGAGATGTCTTTGTTGAGGTAGCTATGTAGTGCATCCAGTCACAAAGTTACTGGACGTATGGTCCTAAGGATATGCAAGAAGCTAATTGTGAGGATATTCGTTTTGTGAGTGATGCAGGGCAAATCTCAACCATGTTTGCTCAAAAGCAAGCCGCATGTTTACTGTACCTTCTATTTTGTATTTTAAGGACAAGTTTAAACTGCCCAGAGGACTGAATTAAAAGGGTGGTATGTTATCGCTTCCAAGTAATAATGCTTAGGACAGCAAGCTGAGTTTGCATTTGAATTTACTGTAGAGGTCTTAGAGGCCAAAACACTTCTCCTTAAAAACTGGACAGATACTTATTTCTGTAGATGAACAGCTCAACCCTAAACATGCATATTCAGAAGTAAATTACAGAGAGTTACAATGAGTTTTCCTTGCAAGTTTGTTGAAGATTTCACTCACAAACTAATTTTCCCACATCCTCTTACAGCTGCACAGTGGCATGACTTCTGTTTTATCTATCTGTCTTAATTTTTTTTTTAAATCAACTTATAACCAGCTGAGAACCTGGATGACCAGGGTTCAAATCTCCACCTAGCCATGAAGATCACTTGGTGAATTTGGGCCAGTCACTGCCTCTCAGCCTGACCCACCTCACAGGGTTGTTGTGGGGGTTAAACGAGGAAAGGAAGAACCAGTGCCAGAACTCACCATGAACACCTCCCTTGTTCTCTTATAATGGCAATGGTGCCCACCTGAGATGTGCTGGAACTGAGTTCTGGTGAGTTCTGGCAGAAAACCCCCCTGGGAAGAACCATGTACGCCATCTTGAGCTTGGAGAAAAAATATGGAATATAAATGCAATAAATAAATGTAGCCAGCCAAGGAACAAACTATTCTACCAGCTTACGTTTTATTAAGAACTTTTTTGAACAGTTTCCTGTGCCTGCTCACACTGTGAGAAGGGATATATATTTTTCAGGATTTTGTTTCTAACCGCAGCTATTAAGAACCCTGCAGGCGGAATCTCCCTTCACATTCTACTTTTCTAAATAGATCACATGCCAAGCAGCTGACCCTGGAGGAAACTTAATTATTGTTTCTAGTCATTCTTTGATTCATAATTGTCAAGCTTCCTGAGGAAATAATTATAAGTGCAGTGTTGTGGTTAGTCTGTTAGATTAAACCTGAGGGAACTCTCATTCCAATCTCCACCCAACCATAAGGCTAAGATATTTTGTTGCCTGAAGTAACACCACCCTGCTAGAGCCAACACTTTTAAAAGTCTTGCTAGACTATTTGGACACCAGTTCCCTCCCACCACCCCCTGGTTCCATATGAACATATTTATTATAGGAGTTTTTCTAAGTCTTCAACTCATTAAAAATATTATGTCAATGTATAATATAATGAGTGGCTCCAGGATCTAGTAAAAAAACTACTTTGAAGTGAAATTGTATTCCTGGGAAGCCCATTGAATTCAACCCCCTAGCCTCATACAGAATAGACCACACAACAAAGCTGTATATATAAAAACAAACATTTATATTACATAGGCTTTTGGCCCACTTGGAAATGTGTTATAATTGGGGTTGTTGTTTTTTACTGATGTTTCACCTGCCTTTGTTTTATCACTTTGTTTTTTCATTGCTGTTTTATTGTATTGTATTATGCTGTCTTTGTAATGTTGCTGTTAGCCGCCTCCAGTTCCATTCAGTGGAAAGGTAGGTTACAAATTTAACAAATAAATAACTCCCTTTTGTCGACTTTTATTGGGAAAAGGGGAGTGGGAGGCCAAACCTATTGATTTTCCTTGATCTCACAGCATTTGATGTCATTGACTATACAGTGGTACCTTGGGTTACAGACGCTTCAGGTTACAGACGCTTCAGGTTACAGACTCTGCTAACCCAGAAATAGTACCTCGGGTTAAGAACTTTGCATCAGGATGAGAACAAAAATCGCGGAACAGCGGTGCGGCAGCAGGAGGCCCCATTAGCTAAAATGGTACCTCAGGTTAAGAACAGTTTTAGGTTAAGAACAGACCTCCAGAACGAATTAAGTTCTTAACCCGAGGTACCACTGTAGTGTCCTTCTACATTGCATTGCAAGCTTCCTTTCTTATCTGCAGGACCAGAGAGTTGCACAGGGAGGCTCCTCGCTCATATCCTTGTTGCTCAGCCCCATGGTATTTCTACTATGTGGTTCTGCAAGGCAACATCATGTCTCTAATGTTCTTTAATACCTATATGAAATTGTTGGGAGCTGGGGATTTGGTGCCCAGTATCACCCATATGAACGTGACGCCCAACTCCATCTTTCAGTTCTACTCTAAATCAGAAGCGCCATTCATATGTAGGGTCAGGCCAATAAATGGAGACTGTATCCTAACAAAACAGAGGTTCTGTTGCAAAATAGTTCCTCGGTGTGTTTAGAATCTCCCCATAAGGGGATAACAATTGCAGAGAGAATTAGAGCCAGTGCATATGGAGACATAGGGAGCATGTTTTGCAAAAGCATCTCTCACCTCTGCTTCAAGCCCTCGTAAGTTCACCCTGGCTGCCTCATGAGGTCTAGAGACTTGTAGAAATCCACAGAAGTGTGTAAAATAACTTACATGCTCTTCCTTTTTGCTCAGGTTCTGTAAACGTAGGCAAGCAGATGCTGCGTTCTGAAACAGAATCATTAGAGTGCTTTTAATGGGATTACTTCTGTACTGAAAATCAACCACAAATAAACTTACACGTTTTGGTGCATCATAGCTGGAGTGCTCCACATTTCAGCAGGTTTACATTGATTTATGTAGAAAGCATACAGCCCTTTATTAAAATTCTTTATGCCAGTCAGGAAAACACGCACACACAACGTATTGTTGGCAAGTCTGCTGGAGCACTGTATCTAAAAATAGATGTTTATAACAGAAAAAGCAAATCTCCAGCATTCAAAATAAATTATACAAAGCACAATTTTGTATACAGTATGTTGTTTTAGTTTTGACAGGGTCTAATGCTTGCCATGTTTATGTCTTCACATAATTCAGAGGATTTCAGAGAGGCTAGGGTGCTAAGAGGCAGGGTACAAAGGAAACAGGGAGCCAAGGACATTAAAACATTATTGGTGTTCTTGTGTTTTATGGGTATTTATGGTCTGACTTTATTACCTTTTGTATGTTGTAAGCCAACCAGATATACTTTATGAAAGTGTGGATTATAAATATTGAAATTAACAAAAAGCTGGGGGAAAGGGCACAGAAAGGCCCTCAGTGGTGGATGGTCCTCAGAGTTAATGGCAGGCGGAGCCAACACATTCTCGTTTTGTCCCTGCTGAGTTCCCAAACAGTGACACTTGAGTCCAAAGAGGAGGAAGCTGACAGGCTGCGCCCCTCTCTGGATTGCTTGCAAGTAAGAAGGCAAGCTGAGAGGTGACTGAGGTTGGTGGGGCAGTGCCCTGTTTTCCCCAATAGACTAGTCTCCACAGAGTCTCTGAAAGGCATGTAAGACTGAAATATAGATTGAGGTTCTCCCCAAGGCAGGCCCTTTTACTTTCTCTATCATTTGAAGGTTTCGCACACACTATGCCTTCTAGCAAGATTTGAAAACCCAAATGAGTTTGTTACAGGGGATTTATTGGCAAGTGTGCCTTCTGCATCTGTTTCTGAATTTGAGTGTTGCAGTCATTCCTTCCAGGACTGAGAAGTATTGTGCTGAGGGAAAGCTCCATATCCTTGGCCACCATGTTATCTACTTCCATTACATTTGCAACCTTCTGTCCCTTTTAGTGCCTGTAAGCTAAAAGTCGAAGCAACTCATGATATGGGAAGCATTTGGATTTGCTTAGCTAACCTTTCTAAGGTGTGTAGAAAAACTCATTTTGCTCTACAGTATTTTAAAACTGGAACATGGATCAAATGTCCTTTTGTTGACTTTCTGTGTGAAACTGTGCCAGGTTTGGAAGGCCGGATGAAGACCTTTCTAGGCCTCTTAATAAAATAGTCACCAGCCACTACTGGTTTCGTGAACCCACGGTCTGGAAATTAGTTCTAGAGCAGCAGTTAAGTTTCATAGTAGCTAAACTTGGGTGGAAAGTCCCTGGTCCACACAATGCCTTCCTTGTTGAGGCTTAATAATCTGTTGACAGCCCTCTTCAGGCATTCAAAGTGATGTGCGATAAGGGGCAGTGTACAAGCCCAGGCCCCCGTGTCTTCATTCCCACAGGACAGCTTAATTTGATAAGCACCAAGACCTGAAGGGGGCTTCTAACCCTGTTCAGCTAGATACAGATCGAATCATCCAAGAGATCAGGGCTCCCAGTCACATGGAG